GCGCAAGGGGTTATGTTAAGACACAACCTATGAAGCTATCCGCAGCCACTGCAACACAGTTCGCTCCCCGACCAGCCAGGAAACATCCCACATGGCGCAGCAGACCTCTCCTGACTCGCCCGCTGCTCCCCTCAGCAGTGTATTTCAGTCGATCTACCTGTTCTGTTTCCCACTCTGTCTCTGGCGAATCCTCTCACTCCCCACACCTCTGGCCTGTACCCCAGTTCTTCTATGCATAAAGAAATAAATCTTTTTTAAAAAATAGTAAGTTGATCTCAATAAAAAGAAAGGGAAGAGGAAAAAGAAACAAATATGTGAGGCAAACAGAAAAAAATAGCAAGACAGTAGATTAATCCAACCATATGCATAGATTTCCATGTTGAATGAAAAATGACTAAAGTACTCTTTATTTTTTTTAAGATTTATTTATTTATGTATACAAGAGCTGGGGTACAGGCCAGAGATGAGGGAGGTAAGAGGATTCACCAGAGACAGTGGGGAACAGAACAGGCAGACTGACTGAAATACACTGCTGAGGGGAGCAGTGGGCAAGACAGGAGAGGTCTGCTGGGCCATATGGGTTTCTCTCTGGCCTGCAGGGGATCGAACTCATGCTGCAGTGGCTGCGGATTGCTTCATAGTGCAATGCTTAATCGCTTGCGCCACCAGGGAGGCCCCTAAAGTACTCTTTATATGTAAAGATACAGATAGTTTGCAAAGGGAATAAAAATATACATATCATGCTAACATTAATCAAGAGAACATTTAGGTGGCAATATTAATATTAGGCAAAGTACACTTCAAGACAGAGTATTATCATCAATAAAGAAGGGCATTGTGTAATAACAAATGGGTTAATTCATCAAGAAGATATAACAATCCTAAATGTGCATGTACCTAGTAAAAGAGCTTCAAAATACAAAATGTAAACTCACAAAATGGAAAGATGTAGAAATCTAGTACTTCAAGAGAGTAGTTTAAATCAGTTCTTTAGCTGTTTCAACATTCATTGAACACTTCAATGTTCTAGGCTCTGCAATCACAGATGGAAAAAAGATGGATATCTTTTATGTGTATAAGATGTCACTGGGGTATAGTGTTTACCCTTAAAAAACTTGTAATCTAGCTAATTGTGTGTGTGTGCACACGCACATATGTATGCACCTGCACGTACAGGCTATATATAAACCACTTAGAAAGCAAGAGACTAGGTTATAATCATGAAATAACCTGAGTAATACTATTTGAGCTCAGGAAATTAGTGCAAATTACCTAGAAACAGTTTCATGAAGAAGATGCTTTAGAGCTGAATATTGAAAAAAAAAAAGTTGCATATATACAAAAAAAGAGGGAGACAGGGAATGCCTACTAGTGACAACAAGATGAGAAAGACTCAGATAGGTATGAGCATATTCTGTTTAGTTAGAGGCAGGTAATGTTATAAGATAGCTAAAAATAGAGCTGAACATATAAAAGAGGAAAGAGGGTTATAAACTGGGGCAAGAAAATGAACTTGAATCCCAGATTGTTGTTGAGACTAGGTTTGCTAAATTTCATCCCCAAATCCCAACTAAATGATTCTGCTTCACTTAGGTAGGGTAACAGGCAGAAATACAAGAGTTCAGAGAATTCCCAAAATAATAAAGAAAAAGGTTTCAATGACACGGAAGTAATTTCTTTAGAACTCAGAAATATCTAAAATTAAAGGAAAAACTTTACCTGAACCAAGATTTTACTGGTATTTTAAAGACAAAGTTTCTTTAAGCAACTAACAAATATGCATCACTGTTGACACCAACCATCATCAAACAAAACAGAAAATAGCAACAGTATACAGGATTAAAGTATTAAAATCACTGATACTCCCGCAGACTGGTAGAGTCCTGGCTCTACTCAAATGACAGGGCCTTCAGCATACCAGAGGATATTCCCATTGCAATTTGTCAGCATATTAGCAAATGTTCTTGGTGGCTGGAACACACAGTCCAGGAATATATCCTTACCCTCACGTGTGGCTCAAATCACCTCAGTGCCCTGTAACTCTCCTCTGCTGCTCCTTCTAATGGCCTCGAATGCCAATTAACCATCTCAATCATCTCTGCATCTAAATTTAGATATAGCTATCAAGTTTGAATGCCTGATATGACTAATTATGTTGCAGAACTGTGAAGCAATCAGTCCTAAAATGGAAAAGTGGGGGAAAAAGGAAATCCCTAGAGGTAAATCTAACATGGTTCCTGTCCCTATTGAAGTTTCATAAGATCACAGCTGAAAGAACATTCTACCATAAACTGAAGGGCTCTACGTTAACAGCAGGAATCAAAACCTCATCCACAAATGCTCTCCCCCTTATTCAGCATAACCACCATAAATTCTAAAATAGTAACATTGCCTTATATTGCCACCTAGTGTATGTTAACAATAACTGAACTCAAAGGTGATATTTTTGTACAGTCACCTTCCAAGGGTTTCCTGGTAGACTTGATCATGCACCACATTGGGATTCCTAGTGTGATTCCTCATTCTATTTCAGGGCATATCAATGAAAGTATAATCATGGATTTAATTTATGTTAGTTAAACTCCCATTTTGTGGATAATCCTCAGATTCTCCAAAACTGCACACTGTTCCCCAGGAATATTCTTTCTCAACATTTAGCAGTCATCTCTCTGCCACCTTTCCTTCTCCTTACTCTCCCTGATTATTGGAGTGTGAACTCTATATACAACCTGGACATTTTAATAGCATTATTTCAACTACGATGTAATTGGAAAGAGGGAGAATGTAACAAAAATAAAAATAATCCCAGGATTAATTATATAAGAGGCCCCATTTTCTTCCAAGCAATCATTAGCTTATAAAAGCTCCCAAAGCCATTTCCAGACAGGGCGTATGAAAAGATTTGAAAAAATGATATTTCAGATAGCATAATTCACTCAAAGAACATTTAGGCCTACATTACTACCTTTAATTCAGACTTTTCCATATCAGGCAAAATAGCATTTTTGAATAGTTAGACGAAGATGGGGTGTAGAAACATGAATGGGATGCCTTTCTCAGATTGCCTTGGAGTTTGGTTTGCCAGATTGATATGCAATATTTAGGACATACTTAGATGAAAAAAAAATTATTTGTTATTTACCTAAAATGCAAATGTAACTGAGTACCTTGTATTTTATAGGGCAATCCTACATGGGGTGAAACAAAAGAAAAAATTAGGAAAAATAACTAGACTCCTACAAGAGCCTAAGTCATTTTTGTGGAAATAGTGATTTGGCTAGGTTCCAAGGATCAGCATCAAAGCCAAGGACCAATACCGTAACATTCAAATTATACTTTGCACTTAGTTGATGTTGTAAAATTTATAAATCATTTCACAACCATTATATTATCTGAACCCACTCACAACAACAGTGATGTGGGTGTTTTTATAAGCATTTCAAGGCTCACAGATGTTAAGGAAATGGCATTGTGATCCACATAGAGATAGAAAGAACAGAAGAACTTGAATATAAGTCTCTCAGTATGATGCATTGTCTACAAATTAAGAAAAAGTTCGTGTGGACATTACACAAAATTTTTTAATTCCTGAGGTACAGAGGAAAAATATCTGGCAAACCCGGCATAAAACTAGCACATAAGACCAAGAAAATGAAAAAATATTCTCAGACAGAGTCACTGAGCTCTGTTACATACCTTCTGACTATAGGGTCCATAAAAAAAAAAATCTACTTTATTTCCCAAGTAGGATGAGAAAGTATTTTTCTTGTGTCACTTTATTCACATGCAGCCCAAATCTATAAATCTCTAACCACTAGTCTTTATAAGCCATTTATATGTCCCAGAAATCTTTAGTAAAATCACAGGATAATCCAAATATGTGTAACTTAAAGTTCATTTTATTTAGGTCTTTACATTTTAAATTGAGAAAACAATCTTATAATTATTTTGGTTAATCAGAGTCATTTTAAATTGTAGAGCAGTGACAGCAGGTGTTCATAGTATACATTATACTCCCTAGCACAGTTTCTTTTACCTGTGGTCCTCAAATTCCAATATTCATGAAATTCCCTGAGGAGCTTCTTCAACTGCATACTCCTAAGATCCTCAGAGATTCTGATTCTATATATCTTGAGATAATATATCTATGCAAGTCCTACTGGTATCATCCTATCTATCTTCCCATCATTCTTATTCCAGAGAACCATAGTGTGCTGAAGTCACTTGGGATCTTGTTAAAATACAGATTCTGGGGCAGTAATTTGGGAAAGGAGCCAGAGATTCTGAATTCTAATAAGCACTCAGGTAGCTTTATCCCCACCCACCCCCCATTTTAATTCTGAGTATTTCCAATTCTTTATGTATCCAAATCACCACAGCCTGAATTCCGAGTTTATAAAATGTGATGGATTTTATGGATGTTTCCTGTTCGATGCTGAAACAGATTTTTGCCTAAATCTTCTCCATAACACTGTTCTTTGCTGCATCTATATGTTCTGAGTCTGTTTACATCATCGTCTCTGCTCTGGGAGTAAAAGGGTTAAACCCCTACAAATGTATATTTTCAGACCATGCCCACCACAGGTGCCCCAATAATCCTCTCTCGTGTTCCATGGGGGCCCCTTCTCTCCATCATTTCCACCGCCCTCTTCACCTGTGACCCAGTTCTGCAAATAGGTGTCAGAACTTTATTATTGGTTTGATTTTTACTGATTCTTTCTTATGTTTCTCCATATTCCACATACAGTAGAATACTACTCATAGAATCTTAAAATATCTATGAAGTGAACAATATTATTGTCTTCATTGTAATGATGAGGATGGAGACACAAAAAAAGAGCAGACAGGTAATAATTATATATAATATAATAATCAAATCCCAGTGATAGGCTATATGTATCACATTCAAACTAAAACCAAAATATTAAATTAGGGTTCCTCTTCCATTATGCCATAGAGACATACAAAATTCACTTCATAACATGTTTTGTAACACTTACATGCTTCCATTGCAATGGATAGGTAGACCATATAAATCTTGGGTTTTCTAGAAATGACCAGAACATACACCTATTTTAATATATCAGACATCTAAAGAACTATTGCAGCATTGATGTAGACAACTTATTTGAGTTCTATGACCAAATCAAAGGGAAAAAAAAATGTTCACATACTTATTATTGTATCCATACTCTTTATTATTTCTATTATTATCCTTCTTTTACATGTTATTTCTTGCAACCAGATAATAGCTCCAATCTACTTTTCTTAAAATAACACAGAATATAGTCTCTAAACGTCTAACATGATTTAGATATGCTTGGTTGAGCAGAAAATATTCTCTTGTCTCTTTTGGTTTTATGATCCTATTATCTTTACAGAAAGAGCTAAGAGTATTTCCACATTGAGCACTTAGTGATAACTATATATTCCTTAGTTTGCTTAAGTATGTATCCTTTGTTGCTCTGAATTACTGTTTCCTAGAATAAAAAGGAAGCTGTATGTTTATCAAAATGCATTCATGCAGGCAGCTGTGAGAGTGAGATGAGAAAGAAAACACAAGGATTACATATAAGCCTCTGAATAATCTCATAATCTGGCCCTGCGATCAATCATTATGGTCCTTTGAAAGTCCTACTTTGTGTCTGAAGAGAATAAGCACAATCCAAGAGAGTAAAACGATGAAGGCAAAGAGATAAGAAAAAATTAGAATAACAGTTTGTTCCAATTATAAAAGTGAGACTTCCACTATTGAGTTACTCACCTTTCTTCTTATCCTTAGTTTTGCTGCTGTGAAAGGAATAGAGATTTTGAAGTCAGACAGATCCCAATTTGAATATGAATATGGCATCAGTCGGTTTACTTAGACTCAGTCTCAGTTTCTTTATGAAATGTAGACATCCCTCCTCCTCCAACAGTACATTGGATAAATAGATGTATGGAGGTTGGGCTTGGACATAGAACAACAAAAAGCAGCTGTTTCTAGTGACAGCTTGTTATTAATAGTTACTACTTATTCATCTGTTCAACTTCCAACAAATATTTATTACCACCTCTCTGTGGCAGGAATACAGTGAAGTCCTAGGAATACAATGAAAAAGGAGATAGTTTCTGTCTTCAAGAAGATATGTTTATCCTTTGATTACGCATAGCAATCAAAATCCCACCATCATTCCCCACTGTTCCCCCTACCCTCCCTCTCCCCAACACAATTCTTCTTCCAAAGTCACAATTGCCCTATGTATCAAATACAATGGATCCGTTTGGGTCTTCAATGAAATCTTTTTGTGGCCTAGAAATATCATTTAATCATCTTTCTGGTGTCTAGCATATGCACTCTCTCCTGATTTCCTTCTAGCTGGGAAACTTCTCAGTCTCCGTTACTGTTTTTTCTCCTGCTATTACCCCTTTAGTTAGTATTTTCTAGCTTTCTGATTTTTTGCCCTTTTTCCTTTTTACACGATATTAATCGTTCTTGATCTTTTCAGTCATAAACTCCTTTAAGGGGCCTCCCCTGGTGACGCAGCTGGAAGCTGCCCACAGCCTCTGCAGTGCCAGTTCGATGCCCAGCCACCTGCAAGGGTCCACCATGGCCGACAGAACTCTCCTGCCACGCCCGCTGCTCCCCTCAGCAGTGTATTTCGTCAGTCTGTCTGTTCTGCTCCCCGCTCTGGCTCTGATGAATTCTCTCACCCTCCCACACTTCTCATTATACCCAGTGCTTGTATAAATAAATAAATAAATAAATAAATCTTTTAAAAAATTAAAAATTAATTTAAGAATCTGAAAGTACTGGGCCTCCCCTGGTGGCACAGCGGTTGAGCGCTGGGTTGCGAGGCTGCCCACAGCCTCTGCAGTGCCAGTTCGATCCCCGGCCACCAGTGAGGGTCCCACTAAAAAAAAAAAAAAAAAAAATTAGAGAAAAATAATTAAGCTGCAAGCAATTCACAGAGATTAAAAAAATGAAACGGTTGAATTAAAAAAAAAACAATAGAGGGACTCAACAATAGACTTAATGAAGAGGAGGAACAAAGTATCAGGATGGAAGACAGTTTAATGTAAAGTATCCAAAAAGTCCAGTAAAAAGAAAAACAACTTAAAAAATGATAATAACAAAACAGACTTATGGCACAGCATCAAAAAGAACAACATTCACATTATAGGAGTTCCAGAATGAGAAAAGAGAGAGAATGGGGCTGAAATCCTATTTGGATAAATAGTAAGAATTTTTTTCAAACTGTAGGAAGACACAGACATCCATATACAAGAAGCACAAAAAGTTCCAAACCAAATAAAGCCAAACACACACACACACAGAGAGAGAGAGAGACACACACACACACACCCCCCCAAGACATTATATTTAAAATAGCAAATATTAAAGAGAAAGAGAATCCTTAAAGCACACAGAGGAAAACAAGGAGTCACATCTAAGGGAAAACTCTCATAAGACTATCAGCAGATTTCTCAGCAGAAACATTATAGACCAAAGAGAATGACATGATGTATTCAAAGTGTTGAAAGGAAAAGACCTTCAGCCAAGAATTTTCTATACTGCTAGTCTAACACCCAGAACTGGAGGAATGATAAACAGCTTTATAAACAAACAACAATTAAAGGACTTAATCTCCTCTAAATTAGCCTTGCAAGAATTAATAAAGGGATTTCTATAAAATGAAAATAAACCTCACTTAGAAGCAATTAGACACCAATAATATAAAATATCGGGGAGAGGAGACTAAACAAGAAGCAAAAAGGAGCAATAGCATAAATACAGCGTTAAACTAGGAATTAGACCAGCTGGGCTTAATAGACATTTAAAGGGCATTGCACCCCTCAAAAATCTGAATGCACATATCTTAAGTAGACACGGACATTTTCAAGAATAGACCACAAGTTAGACCACCAAAAGAAGTACCAATAAATTCATGAAGCCAGAAATCATATCAAGTATCTTTTGTGATCACAGTGGTATCAAACCAGAAATCAAAAACAAAAAGAAAGTGAGAGAATGCTTCAAATTGTGAAAACTAAACAATATGCAACTGAATAATCATTGGGTTAATGAAGAAATGAAAGAAGTTAAAAAAACACCTGAAGACAAATGAAAATTAAGACACAAGCTACCAGAAACTATGGGGTGTAGCAAGATAGTACTAAGAGGGAAATTTACAGCAACATTGGCCTACATCAAGAAACAGCAACAATCTTAAATAAATAATCTAACCTTATACCCTAGGAACAAGAGAAAGAAGAACAAATGAAACCATACACAAAAATTAACTCAAAATGGATTAAAGGCATGTATGTAAGATTTGAAACCATAAGTTACATTTAAAACATAGAACACTCTAACACAGTAGCCACTCTAACAGTTGGGAAGTCAACTATCCAGGCAACAGAAACAAATGCAAAAATAAAAAAAATTGGACTACAACAGACTAAAATGCTTCTGCACAGCACAAGAAACTATCACTAAAACAAAATTAAGATACTCTAGCAAATGGGAGAAACTATTTACATATCATACAATGTTATTATCGAAGGTCTACCAAGAACACATACAACTCAACAACAAAAAAACAAATACCCAATCAAAAAATCGACAAAAGATCTAAATAGATGCTTTTCTAAAGATTACACATAGATAGCCAATGGGTACATGAAAAAATGCCCATCATGATCACTTACCATCAAGGAAATGCAAATTGAGACCACAGGTGAGGTTAACAATTCACACCTGAGAGAATATCCCAAGTCAAAAAACAAACAAAAACACCATTAACAACAAGTGTTTATACAAGGGTGTGAAAAAAATGGAACCCTATTACACTGTTGGTGGGAATGTAGACAGGTCCAGCCCCTATGGAAAACAGTATGAAAATTCCACAAGCTATTTAAAATAGAACTCCTATATAATCCTACAATTCTACTTCTAAGTATCTATCCAAAGAATGCAAAAAACAGTAATTCCAAGGAATATGTGCATTCTTACACTCAGTGCAGCACTATTTACCAGGACCAAGCTATAAATACAACCTCAGTGCCCAACAATAGATGAGTGTAGAGAATATGTGGTGTACATACACAATGGGATACTAAACAGCTACTTTAAAAAAAATTAAATCATGCAGTTTGCGACAACATGGAAATGAAGGGGATTATGCTAAAAACAAAATAAGTCCAGAGGAGAAAAATCCTAGAGATTTCATTTATATTTAGACTATAAAGAAACAAAACAAAGGAAAACACAAAGCTAAGCCAAACAAACCTTAGAAATCTTACTGCAGAACTGACACTACCAAAAGGTGAGGGTGGGGGATAGGGAGGTAAGTGAAGGGGTCCAATAGTCTATGGTGGAAAATTATTGGTGCTATGGTGGTGGCTTGGTATGGTAACATACTCTTAAAGAAGAATGAACCTATGCCCCTCAAACATATGCAGTGTTATAAAACATTATGGCAATAAAATTAAATTTCTTAATAATCCAGCCCTCTTTGTGTTTTAATTTCTTTGAGTTTTAACTTCCTCATAACTAACATGAAGATACCAATCCTCCATTTTCTAGAGTAGCATGAGAATTAAAATTGATAATGGGAAAAACCATATCCAAGTGCTACCACATAACATATATTCCACAAATATTACTATTATTGGATTCCCAATCTCAGTGCTAGCAACTCCAATTCACCATGCATCCTAAGTCAAAAATTTAGGAGTCATATTCAACTCGTCCCTTTTCCCTCACCTGCAAATAGCTATGCCTTGGTGATTCATCAACTTACTCCAGACCTTAGCTAAGTTTTTTGTGTTCTTTCTCAGGGACCATCAACAGACCCCTGTCCCACTGACCAAATTCCAATGCCACAGTCTTCCAACCTACCCTCGGCTCTGCAGCCAGAGGACCGTCCCAAGATACAACTTTGATAATGCTGAGATTCTGTTTAAATCTGCCATTTTGCCTCTGGGAAGCATTAAGTGTTGCACTAAGGCTTACTGATCTGGGACCTGTCAACCTCCCTTCCAACTCAATCCCTTTGTGGATCACCCCAACTGCCCATAGTGTTTTGGATTCCTTTGCCTGAAATGTTCTCATCCCTCCAGGACTTTTCTTGATATTCACACAAAACAAACACCTGCTAACCTTTCAAGACATAAAGTACCACTTCTGCTATGAAGTTATTCCTGATAACCTCCTGTCACACCATTAATTACTTTTTATCTTACATCTATCTATACCTGACAGAAAAATTTCTATCAAAGATGAAAAATATCTGATTTCTGCTCTCAGAAAGCTTACAATTATCACTCAACCAGAAATCTTATATAATCTACACAAGTCAAGTCAAAAGAGAAATTGAGGGATAAAAAAATAATGTATTCTAACACTCAGATCTGTGGTCTCTTCTCCTCCCAGGACTTTTATAACTCCCTGAAGAGAGAGAGAGAGAGAAAGAGAGAGAGAGAGAGAGAGAGAGTGTGTGTGTGTGTGTGTGTGTGTGTGTGTGTGTTGGAAGTATTAGCTACATAGTAACTGATTTAATCTTCAGTCTATGAGATGTCACTATTATTATTCCCTATTTTTGATGTGAGGAAACGAAAAGCATAGAGATTAACTTGCCTAAAATTACTTGCCAATATTAATAAAGTGTGTGCGTCACTTAATTTTTAATACAATTGATAAATGAAAATTACGTACTCTATAGATAAGTCTTTTGATCCGTACTTATTGAGCCTATTAAGGGCCTGGTAAACAGAGAAAAACGTTAAGTACCCTATACTCAAAAGCAGTGATTTATGAAAAATAACGACACAAGGAACAGGAGACCATCTCTTGGGAGTGGTAAAACAGTCTGGGGCGGAAGGAATCTAATGGGCTCGCGAATTAGT